TCATGGATCAGGTGGAGGGAGTGAGACAAAATGGACCAATGGCTGGACTCCCATCCTGAGACATCAGTGAGGACTGGGAGAAGTTGGCTAAGGTGTGGGGAGATGATTAGCCAATCTGAAGATGAACTGTTTGGAGGACATCAGGGTGCAGGTTACGGTCACAGATGCTCTGGCTGACCCACCCATCCCAACACAATTCTATTTCCTTTTTGTCCATGCTAAATCAAGCCTGCTTCCCACTTGCAAAACATCTCCCTGAGGGTGATCCAGACATCTGGCAAGCTGGCAGAGAACTGAGAGCCTCCAGGCAGTCAGGCCTTGGGTTCAGGGTTGAGTAACTGGGTGAAGGATGCTGGCACTCATGAATTCAGCGGGCATGAGTGGAACAGCATTGTCCCCAGGAGCCTCTCATCACCATTTGGATCCTGTGTGGTCAGAGCAGGCCACTCACTGTATATTTCCAGTCCTGTAAACACGAAATTCAGCATCTACCTTCCTACTTCTGAAGGTGTGTATAGCATACGGTTCTTCTGATCTCCCTCACTCCCTTTTTGCAGTGCTGGAGAGTAAACTCAGGGCCTCACATCCACATGGCAAGTGCCATTTGCCATACCTCTAAGCGACACCCTCAGCACACAGTCAATTCCGATTTTCCCCGGTGAAAATTAGCCAATTCCAAATCAATACACAGTTGCATTTCTGCAAACCTCTTGCCACAAACCTCCATTTATGCATTTTTTTTGCTCTTTTTTGCATTCTCTCCCCTTTAAATATGCTTTTCTGTTTTTGTTTGTTTGTTGACAGGGTATCATGTAGCCCCTATGTAGTTGAAGATGACCTTGAACTTCTGATTTCCCTGCTCATTTAAATGCATTTTCTCTGTAAGACATACCCCAGGCTCCCTGCTCCAGAGATCCCTAGGCAGAGCTTTAGATATGAACAGGTCATTTGAAATAGCCAAAAAAGTGAAAAGAATGTCTCCAATGTGAAAACATAGCAGTCACCAGACTAGGAGGACACTGTTGATAACAAGAGAGCCAAACAAAAAGGCTTTCTGTTTACATTCAGTCAGAAATGGACAAATTGAGATACACACATTTTTACTCATCTTTGTGCATGTCCACAAATAACTCACAAATGATCGTTTCTGGATTATAATTAAACTTTAGCAAATAGGTAATATAAAAGCATGCAAAATCCTTGAATACTAAAAGAGTCGTGGTAGTTTTGTTTCCTTCTGAGCTGTTCTTGAGCCTCTGGGCCAGTGAATTAGATATCTCCTGACTAGTGATATTAACCTCTGTTAGGATTTATTGAAGACATGCTAGAGGCTAAAATCTACCCCTAATATTTGCAAGGCCCTTAGCAAAAGGAGTCAGCTCTCCCATCTTTCCCAGATTGTCGGGACTGAAGGATTCCTGGAGGCAGGAGCCACTTTGAAATCCAGGAAGTATCTTGGTCTCTGTAGGCTCCTTGTCCTGTGCCTGTGACAAAATCCTGATAAAAGCAGCCTAAGGACAAAGGGGCTTATTCTGATGTTTTATCACAGTGTGTGTGTGTGTGTGTGTGTGTGTGTGTGTGTGTGGGTGGGGGTGTATATGTGTGGCTTGTGTAGAAAGTGCTCTGAGTGGCCAGAAGAGGGTGTTGGATCCCCTGGAACTGAAATCAGAAGTGGTTGTAGGTTGCCATGTGGGTGCTAAGAACTGAACACTTGCTCCCTGCAACAGCAGTAAGTGCTCTTAACAATTGAACCAGCTCTGTAGCCCCCAAATAGTGGGATTTAAACCTGAATTATATAACATAACTGAATATTAAAACCTTATTTTTTTCAAAACTAGAAGTCTGTTCAAGCCTTTTGTGTCTTCTCTTTCCTAGGCATTTAGTGTTTACAGTGAAGGCATAGTTACTATAACCACCACATGTACTCTACAAGAAAGAATGTCCCAGCCTTCATGCCCAGCTCTTGTCAGTCAATCCCACAGTGTATTTTGAGTTCCTCACCAGAGTGGTGGGAAAATGGATGCTTTATTTTTTCTTGGGAAGGAATGCTTCATTATTCAAACTTGGACAGCCTCTCTGTCATCATGAGGATCTGACACCCCATTCTTCAGAGCAGTGTGTGTGTGTGTGTGTGTGTGTGTGTGTGGAGAGAGAGAGAGAGAGACAGAGAGAGAGAGAGACGGACAGACAGACAGACAGACAGACAGAGACAGACAGAGCAGAGGGCACAGCTGCAGGTCCTCTTCCCATGGACAGAGCTGTCACTTGCTTTTTTGAGGGAAGAGATAGTGAGATATGGAGAAACTCCCTAAGGCCAGAATGGGGAGCTCAGTACTATGATGTCACCAGCCCAGTGCACTCCCAACAGAATGCTGAGTCAGCCTGTGCAAGGGCCAGAGGAGGAGCATGGGTGTAAGGCAGACACAGAGACTGCGAAGGGGTGCTGGGAGTGCTCCTAGCACTATACTGTCAGCTGTCTTCACACTCAGCCTCACAATGAACCATATACATCTGTTTTGTCCCCCCCACCACCGAGTACTAGGAAGCAGACCAAAGCTCTGGGTGGTTAATGATGCTCACCAGGTGCAAGGCAGAGAGCTACCTTGTCTCAGCACATGAGGAGAGTCAAGAAGGCAAATGTGTGGTGAAGAGGCCCTTATACTTTTCTACAATTTAGAAGGGAGACCAAAAGAGGGATGCGGACCAAAGGACACATGAGTCACGAGCAAGGATGTAAAACTGATGGGGATGTCCCTCTGTATGCTGTAAATATATGGTTCACTTATTGGCTGATGAATTAGGCTGTTTTGGACAATGGACAGGGAAGATTTAGACAGGCAGGAAATCCAAACAGGGATAGAGAAAGGTAATAGGCAGAATCAGAGAGATGCCAGGTGGCTCTAGGGGAGGTAGGTTGCCTGGGCACTCTCAGGTAACCCAAGACCATGTGGAGATACATAGATTAATAGAAATAGTAACTAAGAGAGAGCTAGCCAAAAGAAGCCTGAGCCATCAGCCAAACAGTTTATAATTAATATAAGCCTCTTTGTGTTTTGGGGACTAAATGGCTGTGAGACTGGGTGGGACAGAAACTTTCATCCACATAAAACAATTTTTTTCTAGTTTCAACACTGTCATAGTTGTCCCCTCCCTTCCCCCATCCCATAATGGACATGGGATATCAACTCTCTGAGTAATGAAGTACCAAAGAACCATTTTTGCATTGCGAAAGAATCCACCCTGTGTTCTTCTTTTGAGTAGTGACATCTTTTTAATCCCACTGACCATTAGTGCAGTAGGAATTAGACACCACTAGTCACTGAACACATTTGTTGTGTTGACCCACTTTGAAAAAGTATTTTTTAAAGAAATTTGTTTTGTGGGGTGAGTGATTTTGTAACTTAAACTTTTTTTTCCTTCTGCTTAAAACTGTATCAAATTATTCTACTATAGGACTGGAGAGATGGCTCAGTGGTTAAGAGGTTCAATTTCCAGCACCTACATAGTGGCTCACAACTCTCTGTAACTCCAGTTCCAGGAGATTCAGTGCCATTTCTAGATTCCATGGGCTGTATCAGGCATGAATATGGTCCACAAATATGCATGCAGCCAATGGGTACACATCAAAATATTAAAAATACATTTTAATTAAAAGAATTCTATTATAGAGTAACAAACAAATTATGTTGCTATACACAAAACAAAATATGATTTTTAGAATCCAAGCCACCTGGTCAAAGATACTTTGTGTCAGAAGCCTGAACAGACACAGAAGGAATAATCTAGCTCCCAGTTCCTCCAACTCTTGCCTTCATTGGCACCTGACATTCACATTTTGATTTTGAAGTGACACTTTGGCATGGAAACATCAGGCTCTGCCAAGTGGTGCCATCTTGTTATCCTAGTTACTTATGAGGCTGAGGCAAGAGGGTCAGAAGATGAAGTCCAGGCTGGGGTAAAGACTGAATTCAAAGCCTACTGAGTAACTGAAGGAGACAACACGTCTTAAGAAAAGGAGGCTGCAGCTGGGTGGTGGTGTGGCACGCACACGTTTAATCCCAGCACTTGGGAGGCAGAGGCAGGTAGGAGGCTGCAGCTGGGTGGTGGTGTGGCACGCACACGTTTAGTCCCAGCACTTGGGAGGCAGAGGCAGGTGGATCTCTGTGAGTTCGAGGCCAGCATGGTCTACAGAGTGAGTTTCAGGACAGACTCCAAAGCTACAGAGAAACCCTGCCTCGAAAAAACACAAAAGAGGCAGAGCGTTTGCCTAGAATGCAGGAGGCCCCTGGTTCAGTTCCTAGTACTGTAAAATTAAACAAGGGTTTGGAGAAATGATTCAGTGGTTGAGATCATAAGTCCTCTCAGTTTGATTCCCGGCACCCATGTGATGGCTCACAGTTGTCTGTAATTGCAGTTCCAGGGACTCTAACGTCCTCTTCTGGCCTCTGTGGACACTGCACACCCGTGGTGCACAGGCATACAGGCAGGCAAAATTCTCCACGGCGGGGGGAGGGGTGCGGGGGGGAGGATCCCTTAGCATCTTTTTTATATTTTTGGTTGTGACCCTAGCCTTTAACGGCTGAGCTATCCTTCCAGCCCAGCATCTTTTTTAAAAGAAAAAAATCTCCTACCTCTCTCCATGAATTGAAAGCAAAATAAATAACTGCAAAAACAGAAAACCTACATGAAAATAAAGAAAATGATAAGTCCTTTATAGATGGTGGCATTCCCCGTGTAATAAAGGAAAGGAGAGTGTCACGGGCATGCCATTCAGGACCTGAAAGAAAGGGAAAGAAAAGATCCACTTCTGTCCAGCAAGCATCCAAGCCTAGGGTTTGGGAAAGCTCACAAGGGCGGGGGCGGGACAGGAGTCCTGTACGCCCATTGGGCTTCCCGCTGGCTTATTTGCATGGTCCGAGTGAGGCGGGGCCTCGGGTGACGTCATCAGAGGACTGCCCGGGTGCCTGCGCCTCTCGTAGGCTCAGAGCCGCAAACCCGGAGCAGAGCTGAGCTGGAGCGCCACCCAGAGCGCCGAGCGCCGAGCGCCATGTACGACCCAGAGCGCCGCTGGAGCCTGTCGTTCGCTGGCTGCGGCTTCCTAGGCTTCTACCATATAGGGGCCACGCTGTGTCTGAGCGAGCGCGCCCCGCACCTCCTCCGCGATGCGCACACGTTCTTCGGCTGCTCGGCCGGTGCACTGCACGCGGTCACCTTCGCATGCAGTCTCCCTCTCGGTGCGTTCACGGCCACTACCCAGGCCCCGTGTACAGGGACGGGCTCTCCACCTGGGGAATCGGTGACACCTTCCGGTGTGCCCGAAAGAACCAGCTCAGACAGCTCTCACTCTTCCCTGTGCTGTGGGGCCAGCGTGGGATTTCCGAGGGCGGGTGGCAGCGGGCACGCTGTGCACTGGAGCGACTTGAGCATCTTCTTCCCGGTCCGCTCTGACGCCCTGGTTTGAAATGGACCCTCCACCCGAGTCCTGCCAGCTGGGCTATCCCGCATCTGCAGGGAATAACGCAGGGGCTCGGGGGCCTCTGGTCCCTGTCATCAGAGCCGCGGAGGGTTTGCCTTGTGTGTCTCTGGCTAATGTACCACGGTGGGTGCCGCCAGGAGGGGCAGAAGGTACCCAAACTTGAACACCCTTTGTGGCAGTCCAGCCCTCTGGTCGCCTTGAGATTTGTCTGTTGTGGGTGGGGTGCGTGGGTTAAGAAAGTATTTGGAACCCTCCCTACAGATTGGAATGGATTCCCAGACAGGTCCAGTTCCACCCTATCCTGTCCTCACTGACCTGGGCAGCCGCTCTTCCCAGATCGATGTCACTGGCAGTGACATTCTGGGCAATTGAATCTTGACCTAATTAAACATTTGCCCATGCATGCATCCATGCGCAAGAGAAGGTGAGTTTACTTCTCTCACCCCCTAAACTACTAGGGTGTGATGCCCTTCTCCAGTGTCAGCTGATTGCTTTTGAGATTGTGGGTAGGGCCACAATCTAAATGCCCAGGGGGGAACTGCAGACACCAAAAGGTCCCTAGGCTGCATGATAATGCCTCTTATCAACCCTCATTGATCTGGACCTCTTTAACACTTTACTCTTTGCTCAGCTGGCCACAGCCAGCCGGTAGTGACTTTGGCAGGCACGGGAAAGCCCCTGCTGATGAGCGGAGCTCTGCCATTGGATAGGATCAGTGAGCAGACCCTGAGCTGATGGAACTCAGGAATTAGGAGACAAGCAGGTCTGGCTGTGTGCCTGCTTGTCTGTCTTCCCCAGTGAGGGAGGGAGACAGGAGCAAAGGTCAGAGAGAGTGGCCTCAGGGAAGACTAGACCAGCCCAACGGTCATCCGGCCCGTTGCACACCCTGGGCTTTAGCACTGACCAAAGGCATTTCTTACATGGAGGCCTCTGGACCCCATATGGATGGATGATTATTGAGACAAGGTTTAAATGCATTGACCCAAGGAATATGAATTACACCCACTTTCATATAGAGCAGTGTTTCTTCTCATCCTGTGGTTCGACCCCTTGGGAGATCGAATGACACTTTCATAAGGATGGCATATGAACCTTGGAAAACACAGATATTTGCACTATAATTTAAAACAGTAGCAAAATTACAGTTATGAAGTAGCAACAAAAATAATTTTATGGTTTGGGGTCACCAAACATGAGGAACTGTATTAAAGGTTCGCAGCATTTAGGAAGGTTGAGAACCACTGCTACAGTGGTATCAGTAACAGCACAGAAGACAGGGGCAGCCTGTGGCTGTCCTATCAGGTCACAGAGAGGCCAGAGCTGTAGGTTATCTCTGGTAGGAGCTGCTAAGGTGCATTGCCCAGGGCTTGTGACAAGCACAGACCTTTAGGGCATCTGAGTGTTGGCTAGATTTGGCAGAAGGGGTGGTAGGATCTGCCAGTATCATGTAAATTCACTCTCAAGCCAGGCTCAGCAAGGGGGTAGAGTTTTCTGGGAGTCAGGATTAGGGTTGAATCGGGACAGGCTGGGATATGTCTGTCCTTGTGGAGTTCAGGATTGTACTGCTGCTTGTGCCAGGTCAATGTGGATTGGCCAAAGGGCACTGGGCTGGAGAGTGAGGGCAGACGAATGCACCATGCACACTGTGCAGTCTGGGAATTCTGGGCTTAGAGGCTTACATGGAGGCTAGCCACTTAAGCAGCCCTTTCTGGGTTGAGCACTTTATAGATGTTATTTTACTCAATGCTTTCTATCTCCAAAAGCAAGTAAATTTTACTCTCCTTGAAAAGGCAGCCTAGTGGCTGGAGAAATGGCTCAGTAGTTAAGATTGCTTACTGCTCTTGCAGAGGACCCAAGTTCAGTTCCCAGCACCCACATGGCAACTTACGGCCATATGTAACTCTAGGTCCTAGGAATGTGAAGCTCTCTTCTGGCCCCTGTGAACTCCTGCACACATGTGGTGCACATACGGCCATACACACACACACATGCAAATAAATTCATCTTAAAAAAATTAAAGGCAATCAGAAAGACAGACAGGTGGCAGAGTGCTTTCCTCAGTAAGGGGTGGCGTTGGGAATAACATTTAGGTCTTGGCCTGCATTATTTCTTCTGTACCCTCTAATGTTTAGTCCATTTGTGCCAAGGCAGGGGTGCTGATACATTGGTGGCTTGTGGCTTTATAGACAAACAGGTAGAAATTCTCACATACACAGACCACCGGAAGGCCTAGCTCAGCAATGTCTATGAAATACCACATTCATTCAGGCCATTTTATATTTCTTAGTTGCTCCATTGAATAAAGTCGAACAGGGTAGAATTGATTATTTATTTTTGAGCCATACCCAGAATATTATCACTTTGAAATGACTGTAAACCACTGTTAAAGAGATAATGTCACCCAGTTAACCTTTGAAATGTAGCCTCCTGGAATGTGCTTAATCATGACCAAAAATACAAGGTGTGTTTTTTGGTGTCTTAATTGGGACCAGCCACAGTTCAGGAGTTCTGTATGGTTTCTGGTCTTCAGTGTGGTACCCTTTGCTGTGGGTTTGTCTTTTGTCCACAGATCAGATCATGGAGATCCTCATGGACCTTGTGCGGAAAGCCAGGAGCCGCAACATCGGCTCCCTCCATCCATTCTTCAACATTAACAAGTGCATCCGAGATGGGCTCCAGGAGACCCTCCCAGACAATGTCCACCAGGTCATTTCTGGCAGGGTTTACATCTCGCTCACTAGGGTGTCCGATGGGGAGAATGTGCTGGTGTCTGATTTCCATTCCAAAGATGAAGTGGTGGACGTAAGTCATTTGCCTCTCTGGGTGTGGTCAAATAAAAAAGCAGGATAGGAATATCATTGTCTCACTGGACTGGGACCCAGTAAACACTGTACATCCGGTGACTTGGTCTGTAGCACCTTGAAACCCCTCTATGTCAGAACTCTTTAATTCTCTTAATTTTTCCAGTGCTGGGAATGGAAGATAGGTGTAGGTAGTTTTTTCTGTCCCTCCACCCAACTCCCAAATAACTACATAGAGACCTCTTATTAATTATAAAAACTCGGCTGATAGCTTAGGCTTGTTTCTAGCTATCTCTTATAACTTAAATTAACCCATTGCTACTAATCTATGTGCTGTTGCATGGCTTGTGGCTTGTTACCTCTCTTCCTGCATGTCCTGGTTTCTCTTTGTCTGGCTGGCAATTCTCCGAGTCTCTGCCCTTCTTCTTCCCAGCATCCTCTCTGCCCCAAAAATCCTGCCTAGCTACTAACCATTCAGCTTTTTATAAAACCAGTCGGGGTGACAAAACTTCACAGTGTACAAAAAGATTATTCCACAACAGATAGGCCCTTGGGCATACCAGGCAAGTGCTCTGCTGTGCAGCCGCACCCTTCAAAAGTTTCTCTTCCTTCTTCAAGACTCAAAGAACTGGTCCTGTATGTGCCCCACACCCAATCTACACATGCTATGCAGTGAAGCTGGGTTCTTTTTTTTTTTTAAGATTCTCCAGGGTGGGACCATTCTTATTTGCCTCTAGTCTCAAGATCTAGTATAGAGAAGATAGTTGACCATATCAAAATGTCATTTTGGAGCCAGGCTGTGGTGGCTCATGTCTTTAATCCCAGAACTCGGGAGGCAGAGACAGGCGGATCTTTGTGAGTTCAAGGTCAGCCTGGTCTACAGAGCAAGTTCCAGGACAGGCTCCAAAGCTACAAAGAAATCCTGTCTCAAAAAACCAAAAAAAGAGAAAAAAATGTCATTTTGGGCCACATAGGCTTTTTATAGTTCTTAAATGAATAACATGTTTGATTGAATGTGAGTCCCTATGAGGCTGCACTTGTGGCCAGCAGTCTTTCATGTGATCTAGTTCTCCACATGAATTTCTAGTACTTTCTAAATTGCCAACACCTATCTGTTCTCAGTGGACTGTGTGCTGTCCAGCATAGTGATTCTCAAAGTGTGGTCTGCAGGACCACTGGGTCCATATGACTTCTACCTGGCTGCAGGAGGACCCTGAGGGAGAGCCCAGGTCTGTGCTTCCTGTAGCCCCTGGGCAAGATGCATGGTTCCAGCCCCTTATGCCACCCAGTCAACAGTATGGTCAGCCTCGGGGGCAAGGACAGAAAATTGAAGTGTGCAGGCAAATGGGTAAGGAGCTAGTATTGCTGATAAGACCCAAAGGCCTCAAATACAACTATGAGTGTCATTCATTTACCCAGGTGTTAAAAAGCCTACTGTGTGCAGAGAGCCTTTCACCTGTGCTGCTCATTTGGGGAAGTATAGAAGGCACAGGGAAGTTCTGCCCCCTGTGACTGTCATGCCCCTTTGTCCTCACAGGCCCTGGTGTGCTCCTGTTTCATTCCTTTCTTCTCTGGCCTAATCCCTCCTACTTTCAGAGGTGAGGTAAGTATACATGTGGGTGGGGGGAGTGCAGCTGAGTATTTGAGGCCCCCTTTGTAGTGACGTGGGCTCCCATGGTTGTATCTAACTGCAGAGCTGGGATCTTCAGCCTTTAGGACAGAACCCATACCAGGCAATTCCCATGGGATTGATCCACAGACTCACACCCCCAGGAGTGTCTTCCACTTCCCTGTCTGCTGTCTGTTGGATACACTGGCCTGGCACCTTTAATCTGCTCTTGAGCACCCTGGGGATCAGCCTGGTGGCCTAATTAAAGTGTAAGATGCTTAGGAATTAAATTACTCTTGTAAGGTAGTTGGTTTTCAGGGGAATATAGGCTAGCTGTGTATCTCATTTTCTTAATTTTTTTAGACAGGGTCTTACTATGTAACTTTGGCTAGAATCCTCCTAAGTACTGAGACTAAAAGACAAGTGCCACACATACAACAGTGGAACAATCTATATTTTTTTTAGTTTTGTTGGAGTGTATGTATATGTACCACATGTGTGTCCTTTGTGGGCAAAGCCCAGGACTGGGTTACCAGGGACCTAGCCATTAAGCACATCTTGGATCTTGATATTCGTCCCTAATCTTCTCATGACATAATATAGACATATGATCTTTCCAGAACTAAATGAAAGGGACCCAGGAGCATCTTGGTGTTGTCCCCTGACTTCCTAGAATGCTTTTCCTCAGGAAGGAGGGTTGGGAGTTCAAGGCCAGCCTTAGTGATGTAAGACTCTGTCATGAGCATGGTGACTTGCCCCGGTAATCTCAGCAATCAGGAGACTGAGGCAGAAGTATCATGAGTTCAAGACTAACCCCCTCTCCCCAAAAGAAAAGTGTTAACGGGAAAAGAGACTCAATTAAATACCTTGTCCTAGATCTCCCAAACAGCAAAGGGAGTCTCCTTTGGGACAGGGTTCATATCATACTCCATTCCTAGGAAATATAGCACCCCTAGTTCATATGACTCCTTTATGCACACGATAGGGACTCATCTAGGGGTGTCTACCTGGCCTCTATAGGTGTCCACCTGACCTTAGGACTTGAAAAGCACAACATGGGGTGGACTCTCATCTCCGTGTGTCTGGTACTTTTGCACGGTGGACATCCTATGCAACAGCACACAGCAACCTTGAAAGCCAGAGAGAAACCACTGGAAGCGTGGTTCCCAGGCCACCATCTTGACTGCAGTGTCTCAGAAAACAGTATCATTCCTTTCCTCCTCCTCACAGCGCTATGTGGATGGAGGAGCAAGTGACAATGTCCCTCTGCTGGATGCCAAGGCCACCATCACAGTGTCCCCTTTCTATGGCGAGCATGACATCTGCCCCAAAGTCAAGTCCACCAACTTCTTCCAGGTGAACGTCACCAACCTCAGTCTCCGCCTTTGTACCAGGAACCTCTACCTTCTGAGCAGAGCACTCTTCCCACCTGATGTGAAGGTGAGTGGGGTGCTAGGATGCCGCTCTCTGCCTCCCAAATGGCTGGGGACCCCTCTTAGTCCCTCCATGAGTGAACAGGACTAGATTCTGCCATGGTGGTGACTCAGAAAGGTTGTTGTCCTAGAGCTAGTCGGCTGGCCATCCCTCTGACCACAGACTCCACTGAGGATCACATGGATTGACCTAAAGTTCAGGCTCCACTTCTGGGAATTGGGGTGGGGGGGTGGTGTCTTAGTTTCTTTTCTTGTTGTTGTGCTAAAAATATGTCCTGACAGGAACAAGTTTTCTGAAAAGATTTATTCAGGGAAGTCATGCGGCAGGAGCTTAAAGTGGTTGCTCCCATGATCAGGAAGCAGAGGGATGAATGTGTGCTGCTGCCCAGCTCCCTGTCCCCACTTATAAAACAAAGGATGCCAGCCTAGGGAGTGGTGCCACCCACAGTGGGCAGGGCTTCCTACCCCAATTAACACCAGCAGATGAAACTGCCACAGGCATGCTCAGAGGCCCATCTCCTAGGTGACTCTAGATTCCGTCAGGTTGACAATTGGCATTACCCACAGTAGGGGTAGATGGGGTGGTACATACCTGCATTCCAGAACCAAGGAAGCTGGGGCAGGAGGTTGGAGACCTTGAGATCAGTCTGGGCTACCTAAAAAGACCCTTAAAAAAAGAGGAAGCTTGGCATTGGTGGTGCATGCCTTTAATCCCAGCACTTGGGAGGCAGAGGCAGGCAGATCTCTGTAAGTTTGAGACCAGCCTGGTCTACAGAGTCAGTTCCTGGACAGCCTCCAAAGCCACAGAGAAACCCTGTCTCAAAAAAAAAAAAAAAAAAAAAACCAAAAAAAAAAAAAGAGGGCTAGGGAGATGGCTCGGTGATTAAGAGCACTGACTGTTCTTCTAGAGGTTCTGAGTTCAATTCCCAGCAACCACATGACAGCTCACAAGTGTCTATAATGGGATCTGATGTCCTCTTCTGGTATACAGGCATACAAGCAGACAGGGCAGGGCACTCATACATAAAATACATAAATAACTTCTTGTACCCACATTGCTCACCAAGCATGATGCTCAGTCATAATTGTCCAGGGACAGTTAAGGTAGTAGTACCATAGTAGCTAGAAGGACAGCTTAGCCCTAGGTCCAACCTACCTGGAACACAGCTCCTTCTGGCAGTCTCTGTGGAGAGAACATTGGAGCTGAGACCCAGGACAGCACAGAGTCAGACAGATCCTCTCAGGGACCCTCCAAGCCTTATATGTCCTTGGTCCTCAGAGGACATGGAAGTTATGGTCCCTGTGGTTCACCTGCCTGATTTGCTCACAGGTGATGGGAGAGCTGTGCTTTCAAGGGTACCTGGACGCCTTCCGGTTCCTGGCAGAGAACGGTAGGTCCTGGCTGGGGGTGACTGCAGAGTCCCTTGGTTCTGCTACCCATCCTCATGGCCTTCCCCACAGTCTCACTCTGCCCACTTCTCTCTCAGCACTATGGGATAGGAAGCCTTTGCCCATTTCATAGATGGGATATGGGCTGGAGAGGAGAGGCCAGCAGAGCAGGGGCAACCATCCTGAGGCAGAACTGGGATTTGAACCTGGGCAGCCTGACACCACCTCTGAAGACAGCTTGTTTCTTTCTCTTTGAGCTCTTTTGTGAGCCTTTAGCATGATGGGCTCAGGTTTGACAGGGTTTGGGAGCAGTTTCCAGATGAGGCATCAGGATCTGGTCTCCAGCCCATTTGTGGGTCCCGCCCACTGGATGAGTCTTCTTCCTAGAAGGTACCTGTACTTGAGTCATCCAAGCTCACCTGGGTGACCATGCTGGGCATGCAAAGTATGTAGCCAAACAATATATGTAGTCAAACAGTAGAATGGCATTTTCACATTGTGATTATCTTAGTTTACACAGGAACATCCCACAGTCACATAGTGAGGAAAGATCCTTCTTAAAAATCATGTCCCTGTCATAAGCTGGGCCTGGTAACATGCACCTGCCGTCTTAGCTGCTCAGGAGGCTGAGGCAAGAGGATTTCAGTTCAAGGCCTACCCTGGTTGCCAAATGAGCTCAAGGCCAGCCTGGGCTACCTAGTGAGACTGTCTCAAGAAGTATTTTATTTTTAATTCAAGCAAGAAAAAGGGCTAGGCTGTAGCTCAGTGCCAGTCGAGCTCAGTGCTTATCGAGCATATAGAAGGCACTGGGTTCAGTCCCCAAGCCCATCTGAAAAAGAAAGGAAGAGTAGAAAACAGGGAAGGAAAAATAAAGAGGGCTGGTAGAACATGTGCCCAGCATGTGTGTGTTTGAAACACATCTGTGAAGACAGAGGAGATCGCGCTTTTGTAAGGAGAGATGTGTGTTCAGCCACTCAGAAGGCCACAGGGCCATGGCGAGGAGCCTCTGTGGCCTTATGAAGAGGCGGGAGGGGCATGTGTAAGGGCAGCGGTGAACCAATGGGGAGATCTAGGCTTCAGGCTGACTCTGGAGGAATCGTCAAGGTCTGAACAAGGATGTCCTAGAGAATGTGGGCCCTGGATAAGTAGGAGAGCTTGGGAGTAAGAGTCAAGGTCTGTGCCCCCGCCACAAGATGGTGGCCCAAGTGGTACAGGATTAGGATACTGAAAGATGGACTAAGAGGAAGAGTGACATGTGGATTTGGGAGGGGATTAGATCCACAGCAACAAGGAACCACTGAAGGCTCCTAAAGCAAGAGTGGGGCAAATCAGAGGAGAGCAGCAGAACAGTGAGGGAAACCAATACCCAATACTACACACAGGTACACACACACACACACACTAGGGATTGGCTACTTTATCCAGAATGCTACTTCATCTTGGGATAGTAGGACATTGATAATACCTCCAAAAGCCCTTCAAGGTGTTGCTTCTTAGTTAGGCTGTTGGCACAGACCTACAGCCCCAGGGCTTAGGAGGCTGAGACAGGTGGGGTTCAATGACGAGGCCAGCCTGAGCTATATAGTGAGACTTTGACTTAAAAGAAATAAAAAGCACGAGAGAGGGAGAAAGACAGACAAGGATCTGATATGGCTGTGCCTGCCTCCCAGTACTTGGAAGCCGTGTGGTGTAAGGGTGTCATCTTGGACACAAGACCTATCTCAGCCAAGGAATGGCTGTATGACTTTGAATGAGTCTCTGCTTGTGATTCCTCAGCTGACAAGTGGAACTGATGATTCTGGTAGCTGTTGAATGGCCACTGTGCTGTCATTTTGGGCCTGGAATTTGTAAAGTGCTCAGCCTTTGGGAGAAGAGTTATTTGTTCATTGTATGTAGACTTCGAAGCAGAGAGAATCCCACATAGCCAGAGAATTAGGGAGTGAGCCAGTGAGTGAGGCAGGAACTAGACTCCCATCTGCCCGGCTGTGTATGGCACTTCTAGTTTTGATGTGTCCACCTTAACCCATGCCCCATGAAGTTGCTGTGTTGGTTTACTTCCCCTGCCATCTGGGGCTAAGTGTGGCTGGGCAGATGACGACTGTCTCCCATCTTTGCCCTCATGGGTATCTCCATGTTCTTTGCAGGCATCTGTAATGGGCCACAGCCCAGCTTGAGTCTGTCCTCAGAGGATATGGAGTCAGAAGCCACGCCTCTCTGCCTGGAAAACAGCAGTCTTGTAGGGGACAAGCTACCAGCTAGCCTGTGCCTTACAGCTGTGCCCTGGGATGAGAGCATCCGGGAGACCCTGTCCCCCAAGCTCAGCACAGGTACTGCTGTACTGGGGTGGGATGAGACCAGGGCATGCCGGTTGATGGAAGCAACTGGGCTGCTTGCTGTGTGTGAAGGGAAAAGGTGACACTTCTCCAGCAAGAAGCCTCTGGGACTATAGGAACAGACCATAGGGACATCTCCATCTACTGCACAAGCTGGCCACTGCCACCCATCCCTGAACCTAGAGGTTATGACTAAGAGGAATGCTGATCCAGTTGAGCCCAGGTTACCCACACAGGCTCCAACTGAGCAGCCAGGCCTGGACCCACCCTGCCAGGCTGCCTCTCTACTGGCTCCAGCTCTGATTAGGGCTGTGGATATGAGGGAGGACCTGGGGTCCAGCCTCTGTCTCCTAACTCTTCATTCAGAACACCTTTGGGATCACTGTTGTCCCCTTGTCCACCTGTCTCTCCTTAGCTCTCTCATTTGTCAGTTAGGTTTACACCTCCATGTGACATATTTTATGTCATTGACTGCTAGGTGAACAATGACATGTTCTCAGTGTTTATGCCCCTCAAAATTCCTGTGCTGACAACCTAATGTGGTGTTGCCCTTAGAAGGTGAAGCCAAGAAGATCAGGAGTTCAACGCAAGCCTTGATACATAGTGAGTTCAGAGTCAGCCTGGACCACATGAAACTCTATTTCAAGAACAAAAATGATTCTCATACCGAAATCCAGGTTCCCAAGGGGATGGTGTTGGGAGGCAAGCACTGGGAGAAGTCCTGAGGGCAGGGCCTTCCAAATGAGATTGGTGCTCTAAAGAGAGCCAATAAATATCTTCTAGTTCTTTTCCCTGTAGAGGTGCTATGTATGACCTGGGCCCTCACTGGACACCAGTGTCTGCTGGCGCCTTAACACTTGGCCTTTCAGCATCGAAATCTGTGAAGAGTCAGTGGTTGTTGTTTATAGAAGTTGCTGGGTAACTGTAGCCTGACAGTGGTCTGATCTACCAAGCCAGACAGACTAGTCCACAAACAGCTTCCAACCAGGCCCAGGAGAGACATGAATGGAACCCAGTGTCTGCTCTCCAGGCAGTAGCTGTTCAGTGGGAGACGTCAGGAGGTCATGGGGGGGGGGGCGGAATAAAAGGTAAAGCTTCAGGAAGAAAGAGGCAGCTGAGGGGTGGAGTGCGGTCAAGGGTGGCTGGGAAGCTGTGTGCACCTCATCTGGAAACATGAGAAAGCCACAGGTCCAAATATGCCAGCAAAGGGAGGTGGGGGTGGGACTCTCTTCCATCTGTTCTTTTCTCTGTGTAGCCCACACTGGCCTCAAACTTGAAATCCTCCTGCTTCAGCTTCCCATGTGCTGGGATCCGAAGCCTGAACCACCAGTCTTGGCTAGAGTTTGACCTCTGCATCACCCTTGCTGTGGGAGGAATGGCTCACAAACCCCAGTGTGTCCCATCTGGGCTGCTGCCAGCCCTTTGGCTGCAGGCCTCCTCTATTTCAAAGCTGGTCTGATTTGCATTGGACGGGAGCTTGAGTTCTAGTACTCTCAGGAGCCATACAGACACCTGGTTCCAAATTGTCATTTTCAGTTCTGAGTGAAGCCATTAAGGACAGGGATGGCTACCTGAGCAAAGTCTGCAACCTCCTGCCCATCAGGATCATGTCATACATCATGCTGCCCTGCACTCTGCCCGTGGAGCTGGCCATCTCGGTGGTCCACAGGTGAGCATTAAGGCATGGTGTGACAGTTCAATGAGTTGATAGTAGCTGCACCCCAGGCTGGCTATATGTTTCACAAAATGGAGCCCCTGGGAGAGGCCCTCCTTCCTTCAGCCATGGGTATCTGCAACATGGTATAAGCTCTGAAGCCATCTGGAGACTCAGAGCTGGCAGTGGCCTTAACCAGCCCCCTAGTCCAGCCACTCATGATCCCCTGGGGAAACTGAGCCAGGGAGAGGTAGAGGCCACAACTCTGTGGCAACTGAGCTGGTGAGTAGGAAGGCCAGGCCTAGAAGCAGGCCCTTGCTGTCCCTTGGGCCTGTCTTTAGAATCACAAGCAGATATAGTTTTGGGATGAGAGGCCCATTCCCTCTGGCCATGGTTGGATGGGGGTGAGTCTGAGTCAGCAGTTAGGAGACAGAAGTGAAGTGGTCCTCAAACTTTGGAATGGGGTTCCCACTCAAACAGCACAGTGGGGCAGCAGCTCAGCTCAGTCATCAGGCTGTGGCTGGCTAAACACCTGGCTGCACCCCTACCACTGCTGTGTGGTCCTGGACTAATGAATGTACCTTTCTGTGCTTCTGCTTATCTTTGAAGAAATAGGAAGAAATGAGACTGCCTAGGGCAGAGGATGATCAGGAGGCCCAGCGGGGTCCTGTGTGTGGTGTGTGCTCACATGTCCAGCTAGCAGCAGTGACTTGCTTTCAGGTTGATATCCCATACCCAAGTTGCTTAGGAACAAAGTGTCTGAGGGTTTGGTTTTGTTGTTGTTGCTTTGGAATTCTGGGTATTTGCATAGGCTTACCAGTTAAGCAAGTTCAAACAGGTAAAAAAAGAAAGTCAGAAATATGTTGAGCCTCATGCCAATGCTCAGAATGCTTCGGATTCTGATACTGGATATGGTGGTACACACCTGTGGTCCCAACACTTTGAATGGAGGCTGAGGCAGGAAGATCAGGAGTTCAAAACCACCCTGGGCCACAGAGTTAGTTAAGCCTAGCTTGGGTTGCATATAGAGACCCTGTTTCAAAAACACAATGTGGCCGGGTGATGGTGGCGCATGCCTTTAATCCCAGAACTCGGGAGGCAGAGGCAGGCGGATCTCTGTGAGTTCAAGGCCAGCCTGGTCTCCAGAGCGAATGCCAGGATAGGCTCCAAAGCTACACAGAGAAACCCTGTCTCGAAAAAAACAAAACAAAACAAAACAAAACCAAAACAAAACCACAGTGTGGCTGGGTATGTAGCTCAGTGGTAGAGTGGATAGTTAGCATGGTTCAATCCCCCAATCCCAGTACCATGAGGAAGGAGGAGGAGAAAAGGAGGGAGAGGTGGGGAGAGAGAGGTATCATGTGGAGGTTCTAGCTGTGCCATTTGCCTTGGCCTTCGCCTGGTGTCCTTGTCTTGTCTCATCTGGACTGGTGCCCCAGGGACACCACACAGCCTTGCCCTTCCATTTCAGGGTTGCTCCGTCTGTCTGTGTCTGTCTCTGTTCCTCTCTCTCTCTGCCTCTCTCTGTGTCTCTGTCCGTCTCTCTATGTGTCTCTGTCTCTCTGTGTGTGTTTGTGTGTGTGTGTGTGTATCTATGTCTCTCTCTCTCTCTCTCTCTCTCTCCTCTCTGTCTCTCTGTCTCCCTCTCTCTCTGTGTCTCTGTCTCTCTGTGTGTGTTTGTGTGTGTGTGTGTGTGTATCTATGTCTCTCTCTCTCTCTCTCTCTCTCTCTCTCTCTCTCTCTCTCTCTCTCTCTCTCTCTCTCTCTCTCTCTCTCTCTCTCTCTCTCTCTCTCTCTCTCTCTCTCTCTCTCTCTCTCTCTCTCTCTCTCTCTCTCTCTCTCTCTCTCTCTCTCTCTCTGTGTGTGTGTGTGTGTGTGTGTGTATCTATGTCTCTCTCTCCCTCTCTCTCTGTTTTTCCAGACAGAGTTTCTCCATGTAACAGCTCTGGCTTTTCTAGAACTAGCTTTTTAGACCAGGCTGGCCTCAAACTCAGAGCTCCTCCTGCCTCTGCCTCCTGAGTGCTGGGATCAAAGGTGTGTGCCACTCCAGCCCGGCTGGGCCCTGTCTCTTTTTCTTGGCATACTCACCTGTTTTGCTGAAGCAGATCCTAACCAAGTCCCTAAGGAAACTGTGTTCTGCTGGCCTCCCAGGGCCTCACCTGTTTTCCAGCATCTGACTGCCAAGCTGCTGCTCTAAGGCCTGCAGGCACAAAGGCTGTCCTCTGAGACCCAGCCAGGCTTTCACGGGATTGCTCATGCGCAGTCCACTTCCACTTTGTTTTCTGTGGCAGAATGGCTTTTGGTCTTTCTGCTCCTCTTTGGCTAGTCTTTCATCCCACAGACTGTCAATTCAGGCAAAGCCTGTCTCTACTGTGGTTTGGAGACTTGACCATTTGTAATTATGTCTGTAATTCAGTCTTTTCCATGGTCATCTTTCCCCTTTTCCTGGGGCACTTATGAGAGCTTTGCCTCTGGGTTAGATTCTGGCCTCAGGAACTTTCTTTTCTACATTTTTCAGACCTTTGAGTTTTTGTCTCCAAGTCTTCTCAAATTTACCTTCCAGTCCCATTCTGAGTTATTTTTGTTTTTGTTTTGGTTTTTCAGGGTTTCTCTGTGTAGCCCTGGCTGTCCTGGAACTCACTCTGTAGACCAGGCTGGCCTTGAATTCAGAGAACCACCTGCTTCTGCCTCCCAAGTGCTGGGATTAAAGGTGTACACCACCATTGCCTAGCATTTACTTTGGTTTTAACATTAGTAGCATAAATGAACTTCTAAACTCTAGCTGGCCCTTTTTTCCTGTTCTTTTATGTGAGCATTCTCTTCTTGCTGTGCGTGCTGGGGGAGTGTGTGGAGGGGCATGCCTGTGTCTGTGTAAGTGGGAGTGTATGTGGGGGTGGGGGTATCTGTATTTTGTGAGTATTTTTACAATTATTGTCTATGCATGTGTGTGCGTGTGTGTGTGCTCGCGCGCGCGTGCGTGCATATGCGCACACACATCTGTGAAAGCACTCATGAGGGCTATAGCCTATGCATGGAGATCAATGTGTGTGCGCGCGCGCGCGTGCGTGCATATGCGCACGCACATCTGTGAAAGCACTCATGAGGGCTATAGCCTATGCATGGAGATCAAAGGACAACTTTTTGAAGTTGATTCTCTCCTTCCATTGTGTGGGTCCTGGAAATCAAACTCAAGGTGTCAGACATGGCCAAAACCATCTTTCTGCCCCCATGTGTACATACTTCTGAGCCAGAATTTTAATTCCATAGCCCAAGCTGGCCTAGAACTTACTGTGTAGAGCAGACTGACCTTAAACTCAAGTCAAATCTCCCGCTTCAACCTCTCATGTGCGTGCAGGTGTCAGGCATGATTCACCACCCCACGCCCACACCCCACTTGCATTCTTATTTTAAGCTTTCAGGCAGTGACTAATGCTGACCCAACCCACTACTGCAGGAACAGGAGATAGGTCTCCCTGGACAGCTACCTCCCTGACCTTCCTGTAGGCTTGGTTGTGCTGCCAAGTTGTGCAGTTTTACCTTCTGGCTGAGGCTACTGAATCTTTTAGCCGGGTCAGCTGCTCACAATTGCAGCCCCGTTGCTTAGGAAGCTAAAAAGCCCGGAGGTCTAGGCCAGCCTGGCAAGAGAATGAAACCCTGTGTGAAAAGAAATAAATGTAACCCAGGTCTGCCTCCCTGCTTCTTCTCTCTCAGCTCCATTGCAAACCTGCCACTTGCTTAGGTCTGCTCACACACCTCTGGACAGGACATGCAGCAAGCTAGAGTCTTGTGCGAATGCCCTGTGATTCCATTTTAGCATCCTGCACCAGCCCACCTCTAATTTCTCCATCAAAATCCCTGGGCAGCTTTACTGATCCAATGTCCCCCTACTGAGTCAGTCGCCTGCTCTGGGCTGGCTCTTACCAGCCACCTGCCTCTTGCCGGAGCCTGTATACAAATGTGTTTGGTCTCTGTGGTACTACCATTATGTTCACAGTGGCCATTCACAGCTGGCCTCCATGGAGAGCCTAGGCCTCAACCAGCACTTGCCATCAACCCTTGAGAAATTAGGTAGACTGACCCCACTGATCTGAGGCCTTCCCCATTCACTCCCAAGGGGCTTTCTGGAACCCTGAATGTCCCGGTTTGCTTTTAGGGATTTTAGAAGGTTCACTGCTGTGATGACAGCCCAGATATGCTTAGGGAACTTATCAAATTGGTATTAGAAGTGACACTGGCAGCTCATGTGGATGAAGGCTACTATTGGGAGATAGCTGCTGTTTTTTTTTAAGATTTTATTTATTATGTATACAACATTCTGCTTCCATGTATATCTGCACACCAGAAAAGGGCACCGATCTCGTAACAGAGTAACAGATGGTTGTGAGCCACCATGTGGTTGTGGGGAATTGAACTCAGGACCTCTGGAAGAGCAGTCGGTGCTCTTAACCTCTGAGCCATCTCTCCAGCCCGGGAGATAGCTGCTTTTTATTGGCTTTTCTTCTGGTTTATCTTCAGGCAGATACATTGAACCCGTGTGTGCATGTGATATGTGTGCATGTGTGTTTCTATGTGCAGTACACATGCATGGTGTCCTTGGCTTTCTTCCTGCAGGTTGGTGATATGGCTCCCTGACATCCCTGATGACATCCAATGGCTACAGTGGGCAACATCCCAAGTTTGCGCCCGAATGACAACATGTCTGCTCCCCTCTACCAGGTAAATAATTTGGCCCAGGGTATGTGAGCCAGATGGGCATCTCTGTTGTTCCCAGAGCTTGGGTTGTGACAGCCCTAACAAGCCAGGCTTAGCCACCTGTCCACAACAGGACAATTAAAGTAACAATGAAAAGCAGAGAAAGGAGATGTATCCACAAATAGAAAGGTTCAGGGATACCCTTCCCCAGTTAACCTTTGGGGTTCTGACAGGAGATTTAAGTTTAAATAGAGGTATGCTAAGCAGTCCTAGTCATAGTGTGGTCCTGCCCACCTTTGTCTGGGCTCCAAACTCTCCTCCAAGATTCTGGCCTTCTCTCTTCAGCAAGAGACTCCCTGGGGAAACCCCAATTCTTTGGTCCCCATCGTTTCGAAGGTCTGAGAGCCTAAGGGAGGGGCACAGCTGTCTCTGCAGAATGCTTTCTTTCCTGCCAGAACCACGAGGTTTGTGCTCAGGCCCCATGCAACATTCCAAGAATGTCTAACTCAGTGTCAAGCAGGTGACAAGGAGTTTGCCTTTTGTGCAGGGTACATCCTGAGGGAGGCCCCGAGTCCATCAGATACCCCAGGACATCTGCTGCCCTGGGGATCCTTCACCTAGGCTGTGAAGGGAGAGGAATGACAGGATAGAGACAAAGAGGAGGAACTGTGGGCTGGGGACAGAGGAGATCAGGGTACTGAGCAGCATTGGTGTACCTGTGGGCAGGAACCCTAGGCAGCCTGGAATAAGAGGGGGGCTGTCCCAGTGACTTATGGGAAGTGGGTCCAGGAGGTGGTGGGGCACCTTGATGGGACAGCATACTCCTGTGGAGGAAGCCCATGATCCAATTGAGGGCTTGTTGGTGGGTGAAGGTATGGATATCCACCGGGGGTGTTCAGGCAGTGGAGAAGGCCACAGGCTTAGAGGATGGGGACTGTCACATCAACACTGAAGGCAGGAGGAAGCTGTGGCTCTGGGCTGCACCCCTGCAATAACCAAGTATGCAATGGTGGCTCAATGCCTGGCACCACCCTCCCTGTACCTGTTAGGTTTTGGGTGGGGTGGGGAGTTTAAGAGACTACTGGGGAATAAGGAGTTTATTAGAAGTTATTAATGCTGTGGACAGACAGATGGACAGATGGGCAACAGCATGGTGGGGGCTTCCAGGCAGTTCAGGCCCCAGCACCAGAGATAGGCAGCATGATGGGGTCTTTGAAGAGACTCTGAGCCCACTTGGCAGAGGGAACCGCTTCTTAGGGGAGGCTCACAGCAAGAGTCTGCATCCAGCTCTCGACTCCCAGACAGGAGGCCGGGAAGGGGGTGGGGAGTGGTGTGTGTCACCCCTTTGATGTTACAGACTCAGTTCTCAGGTGGAATATTGTGCCCCAGCAAGCTAGGATTCAGTGTCCCAGGAGGTTCCTATGAGGATCTGGGAGAGGAGACCTGAACAGAGGCTGGGTTCTAACAGGAACTGTGGTTCCTATGAGGATCTGGGAGAGGAGACCTGAACAGAGGCTGGGTTCTAGCTATATTCCTACAGTACTGAAGACCTGGGAGCCTTGGGAAGGGCCTCCAACCTTGCTCCCTTCTTTCCATTCAGATCCCGAACACCGAAGAGTGACCACCAAGCACCCAAGAGTGGACATCACTTATCGCTGCACAAACCCCAGTGTGGCTCTGCTAGCTTGTAAATTGCTAGTCTCCCTACTTCCTATGAACTTGGACATTCTCTATATGGATAGTCCAGGAGGGGCCAAAGCTGAGGCCACCCTGCCTTTCACCCCAAGCCTGGCTTGACTTTAGCTGCAGCAAGTGTCTGAATGGTGGGTGGATGGGGATGCTATAGTCTATTTTGCAGTGGGAAGGGTTCTGTTACTTTTGGAGACATCTAGGAAATTACTGTCTAGGAGCTGAGCCTCCTGTCTGTGCAGCTGCCCCTGGGTACTGTGGTGACCTCACGCCTGTGGTTCCAGGATCACAGGATCTGGGCTAAATTGGTGGTTTATAGAAACCAAAGACAAGGATTTCGTCTTTAGAAACTCTGTTTGGTCTGGATGAAGTCTACTGCTTGAGAGCTAACCCAGAGAAGAGGCTCCACTGTCCCTCAGCCTGTGAATAGTTGGGGATGGCAAGGGCAGCAGTGTTTGGAAACAGGAATCCAAACTGGGTGATCTCATAAGGAAAATTGTTGGGGAAGTGTGATGGGATGGTGTGTGGCTGTCTCTGAGAAGAGCCTGCCAGTTGAGTAAGATAACTTACTACATTCAAGGACACTGTTGGCTCTTACTAAAATACTTTACAGTTTATAAACAATGTTATATAAACACACCAGGGAATGGGTAGTGAACTACATGTATGATCAGCGAACCGTGAATAGAATTAACCTTAAAATAAAATCTTTTGTATGTGGGGGAAAAAACAACAGGTAGGAAGCACAATGGATCTGTCTCTTCTTTCTCTCTTTTCCCGTCTACTCCACCATCACCACCCCTCTCTGTTCTCATCTACTCCACTGGCCTTAATGGGAATAAACATCTACTTTTCTTACGTGTATGTCTACAGCTGCAGGTGTGATGTGTGTTTCCTGAAATTCACACATTAGATTAGAACACAAAGAAAAGCCTGAAACATGGACCTGTTCATACGTCTGAGCATTGACAGTGAGGTACATGTCTCACGTGTCTGAGTCTCCTAGAGTCCTATTGAACTCCAAGTTCACACAGCACTTCAGGAGGAATCATCACACCCTGGTGCTCACAATCTCAGCAGGGTTGATCCTGATTGGAGATCATTCTGGGGGAGAGAAAACAGCTCCAGAGATAAAACTAGGCTACACAGAAGGAAAACTGTCTTGTCTTGGAAAGAAAACAAAAGGGGGGGGGGGGGCATTCAATTGGTAGAGTACTTCTACAGCATGCATGAAGCCTTGAGTTCAGTCTCAGCATCACATAAACTGTGGTGTGACTGGCAAACATAATCCCAGCACTCAAGCTGTAGGGATCAGAAGTCCAGGGTCATCCTTGGCTAAATGAGACCCTGCCTCAAAAAAACAAAAACAAACAAAAAATGGTAGAAGCTTCTTCTTTCTTCTTCTTCTTCTTCTTCTTCTTCTTCTTCTTCTTCTTCTTCTTCTTCTTCGTCTTCTTCGTCTTCTTCTTCTTCGTCTTCTTCTTCGTCTTCTTCTTCTTCGTTTGTTTTATGGTTTTTTTAGTTTTGTTTTTCTAGACAGGGTTTCTCTGTGTAGCCCTGGCTGTCCTGAAATTTGCTCTGTAGACCAGGCTGGCCTTGAACTCACAGAGATCAGGTGCCTCTGCCTCCTGAGTGCTGAGATAAGGCGTGTGCCACCACTGCTGGCGGTAGAAGCTTCTTCTGCTCTGCTTTGAGCTGCCCCTTTCTGGAAGTTTCTCATCAACAGAAAATATTCCTGCCACCCTATCAAATAAAATTCTTGCTAGTTTAGAGCCTTCCACTGTCAGGAACACCTGGAGTGGAAAAGTTAGTATCAGGGAGCAAGGTCTTGACCTCCTAGGCAGGTAGCAAAGCTGGTTCACTTGTTAAAAAACAAAACAAAACAAGTGTGGATCTACCTATGCAAATGTCCTCAGAAGGACTGAATGGATACACCAAAAATATCCACAACTGCTAAGGGAAAAGGTGCCTCTGCCTCCTGAGTGCTGAGATAAGGCGTGTGCCACCACTGCTGGCGGTAGAAGCTTCTTCTGCTCTGCTTTGAGCTGCCCCTTTCTGGAAGTTTCTCATCAACAGAAAATATTCCTGCCACCCTATCAAATAAAATTCTTGCTAGTTTAGAGCCTTCCACTGTCAGGAACACCTGGAGTGGAAAAGTTAGTATCAGGGAGCAAGGTCTTGACCTCCTAGGCAGGTAGCAAAGCTGGTTCACTTGTTAAAAAACAAAACAAAACAAGTGTGGATCTACCTATGCAAATGTCCCCAGAAGGACTGAATGGATACACCAAAAATATCCACAACTGCTAAGGGAAAAGGGTGCATAGTAAATGTGAAAAAAAAAACCAATAAATATGATTTTTAAAATGCACTTTCGGTCTCTTCTGCCTCTCTCCTCCTATAGTCAAAAGGGCCTGTGGGACAGCTTTCTCTATAGGTTTGTGTCCTCTCCTCTAGGCCTGCATGCTAGATGTTCTCCATACTGCAGAATAAATGACTGGGTTGTTGCTATACAGCCCAGCTGGTCTGGAACTGTGTAGCCCAGGCTCACCTGGAACACTCCATTCCCCTGCTGCAGCCTTCCCAGTGCCATCACGTTCACACACACCACCACACCAGCCTAGAATGCTCATTTTTAGTAACCACTGGGAAAGGACAATGGTGTAGTCTCCAGAACACACTTCGGGGAAACTGGGAAGCAAACAGTGGTACAAAGGGTTGGGTAGGTTTGACTCTTCAAGCTCACATAGGTGAAGCTAGAGTAGACAGCCTTGAAAACTATCTGAGCACTCCCAGGTGATACAGCCAGGGAGGCATCCAACAGAGGGACAACCTGAACAAACTTTGGATCATAGGCAAAGTACTCAAGATTGAGTCACCCTCAATTTACCTCAATGTAATGATGATATAGTAGACTTATTCACTGAGGGAGACTATGTTCTGAGCTCCAAGAATAAGAGAGTAGGGGAGTGACTATTTCCTGGTGAAGGACTATAGTTCCCAGCTTCCCTTGTGGACTAGGAAGTCATTTCCACCTCTATAAGGGGCTGCATCCCATCTCCCCCTGCAGCCATTTTGGCCATCCAAATGTGGGGACAAAATATTCCCTCATCATGCATAAACATTGTCCCGCCTAAAGTCAGACCAAGCAAAAGCCCCTCTTTCTGCCTTCTATCTACAGCTGCTTTTTTGTTTTGTTTTTGCGTTTTTTGTTGTTGTTTTGAGACAGGGTTTCTCTGTGTAGTCCTGGCTGTCCTGGAGCTCACTCTGTAGACCAGGCTCGTCTAGAACTCAGATTTACCTGCCTCTCCCTCCTGAGCACTGGGATTAAAGGTATGTGCCATCACTGCCTGACTTACAGCTGTTTTTTGTTGTTTTGAGGCAAGGTTTCTCTGTGTTAACAGCCCTGGCTTTCCTGGAACTCACTCTGTAGACCAGGCTGGCCTCAAACTCAAGAGATCCACCTGCCTGCCTTATAGTTGCTTTTTAATGATCTAACAGGGGGAGGACATGTGAGGTTAAAGTTATGTTTTAAGTTTAAATCACTGTGCTTATGAGATCTACAAAACAAAACTGTCTCTAATCTGTAAGCTCCACTTACCCAAGGATAGATAACTTACTGGAATTCTGGGGGCTATTGTCCATAAAAAATAACAAGCCATGTGTTTTCACTTCTGTACACAAGTTTAGCTGCTCCAACTGAACAGGATGTATCGATCACCTGTACATAGGTGACAGCTATATAGTCAAGAAGTATGTCAGGATGTATGCTTGTCCCCGATTGGACAAAGGCAGGAAGTACATACATAGCACTGTGGGTTTTGCTTTTATAAGCCTCTGACTAATCCAACTGGTACCATAGTCTAGGAATACTGGGTATAGACCTGGCCAGTGTCTATTGTCCTGGCCAGTATTTAATAAAGTTTGCTTCAGAGTTGGCTCAAAAATTGTGGTAGTGGTCTTATTCTCATGTGGTGGAGTTTACATACATTGTATATGAATGTCAGGAACAATGACCCTGGGTCCTCATGTTTTTTGTTTGTTTGCTTGAGACAGAGTCTCTTTGTGTAGCTCTGACTGGAGTATATGTACATTGTATATGAATGACAGGAACAATGACCCTGGGTCCTCAGGTTTTTTGTTTGTTTGCTTGAGACAGAGTCTCTTTGTGTAGCTCTGACTGTCCTGAAACTCTCTATGTAGTCCAGGCTGGCATCACCCAGCCCTGATTTGAAATCATCTTTGGGAAGGAAAGCAGCTGAACACTGCCATTGTATACCCTGGTTTGGGTTAGGACAGGAACTCAGCGAATACTTATGAGTTCCTGTGTGGTGCCTAGCTCAGATACATGAGGATCTGAGAACTGGGCTGACCCAGTACTGGGAAACCAGATGGATAGGCCACAGTAGGGAGGGAATGGCAGGG